AGTTTGCAAAAAAAAAAAATAAATAAATAAATAAATAAATAAATAAATAAATAAATAAATAAATAAATAAAAGTCACAATTCTTCAACATAAAGTGTTAAAGTGTCTCCAGAACTTTTACCATGTGGTATATATCAGACAGATTCAACATTCATTTTCATTAATCTATTTACGAAGTTCTAAAAATCAATCACTTTACAAATAATGTTAAAAAAATTGACAACACCATCAGTATTCCCTGATAAATCATAACAAGTATTTGACTGGATCAAAATAAAATCCTTTGAAATCAGGGATTTCACTTCTGAATCAATAATCTCCTTCCAGTGGAAATACAGATGTTAGGTTTGTTATTTTTAAAAACGTTCAGAAACAAAACAAAATGTATGAAAGTACCCTCATTTTCCTCTGCCGTGGACACAGGTACAGATCTAAACATCTCTCGAAGCGCTCATTGATAAACCGTGGATAGGCAGGCACCTGCCGCAGAGAGGAGTACTTCTTTGGAAGGAAGTTCCTTCTTCTGTCTTCTGGGTCTGTCTCCTTCCAAGCCAGTTCCTAAGGAAGAATCAATGGTTTTTATTGGTGGAAGTACCAGGCTAATAACTTCATTAGTAACCTCAGTCAATTGAGACTCAGAAAGGAATAGTAAAACAATCAATTCCCTCAATAATTAATTCTATTCAGATTTTTGACCCAACACAGTCATCTGTATTATATTTATTAGCTTTAAAGCACTCCATTTAAAAGCAATGGCCTGATATTTTATGAAAATTCACCTACTTCTTCTTCAGTGAGGAGGTATTCTGGCGGAGGGTTGTACGACTCTTCATGACCTGGTAGCGCCATCTTTGGGGCAGGAATGTGTTGAGTAAATCTCTTGTTGATAGCACTCTGGGGGGGAAAAATATCTTCCAATGGTTACCGAGATTAAATAGATAAGATAAATATATACTTCAAACTTTCTTAAATGAAAATTATCAAACACAAGCCCAAAAACTTTCATACCATTAGCTTATGGCCAACCTGGACATAGGCCTTCATCAGACTGATGTGAGTAGATGTTGACACTCACTGACTGCTAGGTGGTATAGCTAATGGTATTAAAGTTTTTTGGCTTGTGTTTGATCATTTTTATTTATGATCCAACTACCAAGCCAATGAACATTTTTGTTCAAATTATATTTTCATACAAACAATCACAAAAAATAAATCTTTTCTGACAAATCAGCATACCTACCTCATCATCTTTACCCCAGATATCGTAATATTTTGGCTGCTCGTCTTCTTCTGTCGTCGGTTTCTTGGGTTTGATCCATCCCATCTTGATGGCGTGAACCAGCTGTCCCACCTTAATAGGCATAAATAATGTGATGAAAAACTGTTAATATACCCAAATATATTATATAAAGTACACACATGCATACACACAGTAGACAACAGGGTTCACAATTAGAAACAATAAGTGAAAGAGCTCAATGTTGTTCTTCACTCACTTTTAATTTCTCCCACTTAGATGGGATAAAGCTCCTCTTGTGTTCTGGTCTGTTGGTGACAGGATGGATCATTTTTTCATGAGTGAAGAAATCCACCCATGGCTGGAATATCAGAAAACACATCATTTTGGATATCTTTACTTTTGAATTACTATTTTTTAAATTTCCGTTTTCTTTATTATATAAAGAATATATATTTTTATCAATTTTTTTTTCTTTTTAGCTTCGTTTTGTTCCAACTTGTCAAATTATCTTAGGGACAAACAAGGGAAAGCATTTTAGCAATGACTCATAGTATCAACACTTAACAAAATGCCTTAAAGTATTTTTTTTTGTACTTTTTACTTTTTCATTTTTCAATTCTGAAATTTTATAAATGACTATCCTGGCAAGACGGAAATATATATTCATAGGATGTCAAAGATAATTGGCACTGGTTTTAGAAAAGTAATTGGGGAACCAGGAAAGCATCAAGTAGACCTACTTCGTAAGGATCATACGCGGCATCTGGAAACTTTCCTTTCTCCATTCTCTGAATCATCTCAGCGTCTTCCTTGGAGAGAATGACATCCTGTCCTGTCATCTTGTCCTTGACTGTTCTCCTAGACCGTACAATGCAGAGTTTGGACATAAATCAGTACACTGAACAATAATGAGGAAAGTGCACAGTGACACCTATGGGGACCTCGGACACAGGCAATGGCTTAATGTCCAGAAAGTGTAATTTTATTTTTATTTATTTATTTATTTTTTTTTTTTTTTTTTTTGGGGGGGGGGTGAGGGGGGGGGAGGGGGGGTGAAGGAAGATGCCTGCAACAATAACGAGAAGCATCACCTCCTCACTTAAAATACTAAGAAGTTGTACTACAAATAAATATTAGTTCATTCCATATTTACCAGATCTCCCCCCCCCCAAAAAAAAAAATTATGACTTAATGAAACTAATTACAAATAAGCATCATAGCCAATCATATGAGATCTAAATAAATGCATTGAGTAACAAAATCCCTTTCTTTCTACATCATCATCAATCCCTTCATAGTAACTTGATTTACCAGTAATCTGGGTTATCCATTTTATTGAGAAACTCATCCACTTCATCTGCTCTCTTAGGTTTGATGATTTTGCCTCCCTCCAGGTTGTAACCTATGTGTGCATACTCCCCATACCACTCCATAGGGATGTTACCCACTGTATTCCTGATGTCCTAGAGTAGATATAGAAATAAGTCAAAGTTAAGGTCTCCAGGCTGTACCTGCATTCCTTGAGTTAATAAACTAAACCGACAAAATGCCATCATATATTTTCACATAGCATAACTTAAAGAAATATCAAAGGGCATATTCTCATACTTCCTGAAAAATATACATTAAAAGATATTTTTTCTTTCTGTCCTACATATAACCATCAGTCGCTTCTGCCACTCATACTTAAGGTATTGCATGCAGTAATAATGTGCCATTTACTTCATCCCTTACTTGGCTGACTTTTATGAACTGGAGGGGCAGATAAATAGGTCAAGTTTCTGACCAGGAAATTGAAGAAGGTGCAGTTTTAAGGCCATTTTTGGAGTAATTAATTTGGGTTATCTTTAAATATGTTCCCTTGACTTGAACTAGTAGAAGCAGTATGTATGCTTTACAAAGAATCTGCAATGGCTTCAATGGCATATGGAACTTTAAGTAAAGACTGTATAGTATATGGATGCCTTTCCAATTTTGACCACCAAACTTAATACTCACTTGGGCCCACAACAGTGAAGCAAATCTTTGTGAAATATTTCATGTAAAATACTCTGGCTGTAGGAAATTAAAAGAATTAAACTTTTCATTCTTTTCCCTTTTTGCATTCAATGTCTATGGTGAAATATTACAGATGATCTTTTTTCAACTGAGCAACTAGCAGCCCACATAAAAAGAAATCAAAATTTATTCATAAATTTAATAATAAATTCAAGTCATATTTCTTTATACCTCTTCATCTGAAGAATCTTGAGCATATTCATTTAACTCTTCATTTTTTTCTTCTGTATCATTTCCAGACTTTTGACTTGAGCTTCCCTCAATTGATTTTGTCCCTTTCTTTGCTTTTTCTTTCCCTTTCTTTGTTTTTTCTTTTGCTTTCTGTATGTTTTCTTTTTCTTTCCTGTCTTTTCTCAGGCCATTTTCCTCAACCTCTTCATCTGATTGCACTTGTGTTTCAGGTTCATGTCTGTTTACTTTTCTCAAAATAATGTCACTGTCCTCACTCCCGTCTGTTTCCTGGTCTGTGTCTGGATCTGAATTTTCAGTCTGCCAAAAATATTGATCAAATTTATATTCATTCTACAGAAATTAATGCTTGTACATTTGTTCCATATACTTTCTCAGTATTAAGATAAGAATATCTTGATGACAAGTTCCTCAAAGGATCAGAAACAATACACACTGTATTACTAATCACAGAAAGATAGATCTATCAAATTGTAAAAAAAATAAATAAAATGGAGAGAGAGAGAGAGAGAGAGAGAGAGAGAGAGAGAGAGAGAGAGAGAGAGATAGAGAGAGAGAAACTACGCTAATTACAACATACGAAGTAATAAATATGACATGAAACATTTATGTACAAGAATGTTGAGAATTAAATACTTCCAAAACCATTACTGATAACCTATACAAAGACATGGAACACTAAACTGATGTGGCTTCAACTTCCAAGAGTTTCTGCAGATAAAACTTAAACTGAGTCACTGCAAGTTTCTCCACAGCACCCACCTCCTCTCCTTCCTCACTGTCATCATCAGTCGTGTCTGGTTCATCCTCTAAGCCTGAATACTCACTTTCCTCAGAGTCAGTACTATCATCATCATCATCATCACTCCCATCAGGAGGGGCATTCACAAATAAGTCAATCTGTAATTTTAAAGGCATTTTCATTAATTAATCCAAAAAGTAGCTTAAGTAGCTGATTTAATATTTATGCAATTTTAATCTTTGCTCAGCTTTAACATTTTCAGAAATTCCACGTTTTATTTATTTATTATTTCGTCGTGGAGAAGCTTACCTAAGTTTAAGGCCTCGCTTTGTTTAACGTACCGCAAGTTAGGAGTTACCTGTGATAGATGAGCAGCAGAGTAAAGCCTTACACTAAGCCTAACAGCAATATGTAAACGACTACGACTGTAGGACTCAGCCAGGTAAAACGACCAGGAAAAAAATAAGTTATATCTCCATGTTTTTATTGTAAGCATATGTTTACCTTACAGTATTACAGACTCCTATGTTAAATCCAATTATAAATGCCAAACTCACCCCATCCTTGTTGTTATTTCCCTCAGATATCGTGAGTGAATCAAGCTTTCTTTTCGTCTTCAAAGACATCTTTGCATGCTTTTCGTTTCCCACATGTGTACATAAGCTCTAAAGCACGCCTAAAAGTTCCTGTTTATCTAAATCGAGATTTCCAGCAATTAAAAGAAGTATCCTCTTAAAGTCTGGTAGATTAAGTTCATATTTATAATAAAAAATTATTTTATTGTTGTGCAATCTAAAATACTCATAGTCATTCCTTACATTTACATAATTCCTTTAAAAGCTTATTTATGGGAACTACACGCGCTTTTTACACATATTGGCCAATCAATAGCTGCTTTTCTGATTACTGCAGATCTATTTCTAATTGCGCAGTTCCTGTCACTCCGTGTATCAGTGTTGTTACTGATCACACGATGGATGAGTTATTATTTAGGAGAGTTAACAAAATGCCTACAAAAGAAACAGAAAACTATTCAGCAGAAGCTGGCTCAGCTGTCCCAGCATTTCTCTCGAAGTTGTGGACCTTGGTAGAAGATCCGTCGACGGACGAATTAATCTACTGGGATGCGGTAAGTCTTAACTGTTGCTTCACGAGCACTGCCTGGCATTTATAGCAAGTGTGAAACCGGTTTCTGCGAACTTTGCAGAGAATATATGCATTATGTACATTAGCCATGTATTACAATTTGGGTGAAATTAGATTTGTTATTGTTTTGTTATAGCAGAAAGTCACTGAAAGTAAATTTCAGTAGTTTGATAGCCGACGATAAAATTCCCCGGTCGTCAGCCTATCAGTTTATGTAATCATAGGTCAGTGACGTTCGCGCTGTCTGTGGAGAAGGAAATCCCCTCCAATATCTTGAGGCGTGTTAAACTTATATTTTCTCTGTGACTCATCCGAGGTTTAACAGGGAACACCTAAAATTTACATAATCATTACATTAATCTTGTGTTTAAAATGTTCTTAAACATAATTGATTTTTTTATGAATTGAAATTAATTTTAGTACCAGTTATAAGATACACTTGTAAGTTGTGATAAATGTGATACATGTGTAAGTTGTGATTAAGGACGTGTATAAAGATGGGCTTATTCACTTCTAACACTTGTTTGTGTTGACAAAAGATGCTTTGTTGCATCATCATTTTGAGATTTTTTTCCCCTGAAATTTCTTCACATTTTTCACATATGTAGTAATTATGTTAGTGTTCCATTTTGCCAGAAAGAGACATGAGCTTAGTTCCACAGGCAGTTATTTTTCCCTTTCCAACATTACTAAATTGCAGTTTGATTTAACAAGTGTATCTTATCTATGAAGTTGTGTTCAAGTCCTGCAAATTGGCAATAGTTGGAGAAATTCTGTAGTTTATAAAGAAAAAAATGTATGTTTTTTGTTTCTCAGTGATTTTGCAAAAAATCTTGTCGATATATTTTGCATATATAGTATTGAATGAATAAATTCAAATACCTAGATTCCTGAATGCCTCATCTTTATCATATGTTAATATACTAGTAGCAGAGTTATGACAGCACAAAAACCTGAGTAGTAAAGCAGGGGTCGAAACAGACGGTCGCCCACTCGCCAATGCGACTTAGAAACGTCCCGGGCGACTACCTGTCAGGGGTACTGGTCCATTGTGCCGAACATCGTTGCCAAACCCACAGTCTGCGACGTTAAGCACTAGCCCGAAGCAATTGCCCACCTAAAGTGGCACCAGGCTAGTAAAAAAGTNGGAAAAGTTACCATAAAACAAATTTTCCCGAGGTAAATGAGAATTTTTCCAATTCATGCCAATGGTATGGTTTTTGTAAAAATCATTTAGCACATTATTATTAAGAATGTATTATGAAGGGCGAGCATGACTGTCAATGCACAATCTCCAATGTCCCTTGACACTTTGGGTGACATATTTTAATGCATCTGGAAGTTCCAATCTAAAAAGGATTGGGTAGAAAACAATGAATTCTAACAAGTCATAAAACGGTAAATTTAGTCCAGTAAAATAATTTTATTTATACTACCGTAATACATGTGCATGTTCTTGTGGCTCTTCAATGTACACTTGCTATTGATTAAAAACAATAGCAACTTCTTGTACAGGTCCGGCACTCAATTAAATCACAAGTGTAACTAGTATTATTTTTGCTGTTAAAGCTGATTATCCCTCAATAATACATATCATTAAAGGGATAATAACTCTTCGTATGAGAGCTATATTTCACAATAAAAACATTGTGAATATAACTCATAGAAATATTATATATTCTGTTTTACCACAAAAATGGCAGTTAAAGCTATTATTCTGATATCTGAGCTTGTCTTTAGACCACGTGACCTCCATTGATGGCTATACTCTGCTAAAATCTCTTAAGAGATTTTAACAAAAAAACCAAACTTTTTAGAAAAAAACCAGGGACTAACTTTGAATGTAAAAATGGATTCATTAACCATTAGTAAGTATGGGAAAATTGTTGTTTACTCCAGGAAAATTCATTTTTTGGCGAAACGAAGAGTTATTATCACTTTAACAAAAGAGTGGTATTGTGCATGTATGAGAGAATAAAGCCATAATTATGCTTCTGTATTTGAAATCTACAAAAATATGTGTCCATAATTTTTAATTGTGTTCTCATACTATGGCATTTACTCGTCACTAAGCACATGGATGTTATGATGTTTTGGTCAAGCCTAGATAATAATCACTCAAAATCATGTTTTACCTGAAAATTATGTATTTTCCTTTTTATAACTAAATGGATAGCTGAGTTACACAAATTAAAATATGATGTTACACATTGGTTATGCATATATATGGAAAACCAATAAGATAATGGATACATATGGATGTACTGGGGTAACTATTAATGATTATTAAAAACAATATTAAACACTTAACTACAACATGATACATGTAACTATATAATTAGGAATGATAGATGAGAGTAGCCATTCTTTTATCAGAGGCTACAGATCACCCATTGTAATAACCGGTCGGTGGTTATACACTTGTTCTAAGAGTTACATTTTCACCAATAAGACAACTGAGACAGGCAGGTTTATTCAAGGTTACATGGTTTATTCAAGTGCCTGAAGACTCAGGTCTCTTCTGTCGTATCTATAACTATCTCTAACTCTCTCAGTCTGTAAGTCCTATCTCAGTGGCTAAGTCACTGCCTTTATACTCTATCTTAATTTGCATTTCAAATTAGCTTTCGTAACTGTCATGAAACATGCCATGCCTATGTACATTAACTTAATTGTAGATACATTTAAATTAAATCTTGATTTGCATTTTAAATGAACTTCTCTTAAACTGCCATGCAACATGTCATGTCTATGTATATTTGAATAATTAAAACGTACAAATATATACATATCTGATGTATGCAAATTTAGAAGACTATCAGTTCTAATTAACGGATCACTACACCATAGTTACTACTGGACTTGAATAGGAAATCATATATAGGGCATGTTAATATGACTTTCATATTTCGACCTTTGATCTTCTTTTGCACTTTTCTTTTCTAGCCACTGTGTCTCCAAAACTAGCAGAATAAACTCATAGTTACTGTTGAACTTGAAGAAGAAGTCATATATTGTACTTTTGTGCTTAATCTCCCTGGTGGTACAATACCTGGTGGCAGTATTGTATATGTGATCACGTAGTTTGATGATGTTGCCTTAAGGTTTATCTTGATGCTTTTTGGAGGTACATACATGTAAGGGTGCATTCCCAGAGATTTAGATTTAGAACGACCTAAGTCAGCCGAGCGTGCACCATAGTTAATTACCCCCTTACAGCTTTTAGTAGGCGGGACAGACGCTTCAGCCAGCTAAGCTGACAGTAATCTAGTGAGACTCCCCACAGGGATAGATCGATCTAAAATCTATGGGAATGGGGTCTAACAGACCATTCCATTCGGTCATTCCATTTGGTCCATTCACCAAAAAAGGTCCTCATTTCATCATTTATTTAAACTGTTTTAAACTAATATAATAGCAAATTATTCATATGCATCAGGATTTGACATGGGAAATAATGACAAACAATACATACGGAAGTACAAAATCTTTTCTGGTTAAGACTTGCAAAAAGAGTTGTCAATTTCAGGTGCCATGGAAACATTTTTTAGAAATCTGTCAGATAAACACCCTTTTAAACTTTTAATCCACTGACCCACCTTTTCATCAACAAACAGACTAATATAACACTAAGAACACAGAGAAAGGCTGTGAAACAACATTGAATTGGTCAGCAAACAGATTAAAATTAATCAATATAATGCTGAAAACAACAGAAAGACTTTAGAACAACATTAAATTGGTTGACAAACAGTCTATATATAATACTAAGAACACAGAGAAAGGTTTTAGAACATTAAATTGACTGACAAACAGACTTACATTACACTAACTTACAAACCCAGAGAAAAACTTTAGAACAACATTAAATTGGTTGACAAATAGTCCATATATAACACTTAAGAACACAGAGAAAGACTTTAGAACAACATCAAAGCCAGAAAATATTGCTTGTATTTAACTCTAAGAAACTTTTCTGGTGATCAATTTAGATCCCATTCTTGAGAAGTTATATAACTACATGTATGATACATTTGATCAAAAGTATATAAATTTTTTTCCTAGTTCTTTGATTGCCATTTAAGATGTCTTACTTTATTGTTATGTACGGAATCTGCACAAACAATGTCAGGAACAGAACACATGACAATCATTTTATTCAATTTCCTTACAGCATTGTAAATGTGCTGGGGCATTTGAAGGCTGGAATGTGATCATCTGTACAGAGATAAGTAAGGAAGGTGGATTCAAGAGATTACTTGAAGCTGGAGGTGCAAAGGTCATAGCCACAAGGTGAGGAGAGAACTTAAAGGCAGTCTAACTTTCACTTGGATGTGGCCAAATATAAGATTTGGGTTAGTTATTAATTTACTTTGTGCATGTTAATGTTTTAAGCAGCTTATTTCAGTGACTTCAGTTTGCCTGTCAGAGATGAATTCACAAAAACAAAATGATGTGAGTCAATCATGAGACTAGAATGTGAAAATGGGCTTTTTATTACTTTTATGGCACTGCATGCATCTTAAAACTTTGATATATTCTGAAAATCTTCAATAATAATAAACATTAAACACATGATAAAGAAGCCCTTTTGCTGGATGTATTTATTATCCAAAATGATAATTTCTGGAAATTTACAGTCTTCAACACACCAAGGTAATTGGCATGATGTAGATAAGTTAGAAGGCTATAGTGATCATCGTAATATTGTGTGATTGTTATTATCACTTCACATTATCTACTCTCTTTGTGATACACAAAGTTTCTCAATGACATCCTTGTTAGAGTCACTGACAAACAATTCTGGCATATAGCTGTTTTTGTGTTATCCTTTGCTAAACTAGCCCACCTATTACAGGGGTCGAAACAGACGGTCGCCCACTCGCCAATGCGACTTAGAAACGTCCCGGGCGACTACCTGTCAGGGGTACTGGTCCGTTTTGGCGACCTCTGAAAAGTGCCGAACATCGTTGCCAAACCCACAGTCTGCGACGTTAAGCACTAGCCCGAGGCAATTGCCTACCTAAAGTGGCACGGGCTAGTTGTAATTTTGAACCTATTTTAACACTCAGTAAGATTTCAAAAATATGAGTCGCCAGTCTTCTTTGTCCCTGCCTCTAATTTGACGTTTCTAGATAGTATGATATGCCTCTCAGTTGAAAAAAACTCACACCTAGCTCAAACTACTGAATATTGATTAGTTGCTATAAATAACTTCACTGTAGTTATTAATAGTAGCAGTCTGTCTGATCAGCGTGTCGGCATCTTTTTATTTGACTAGTTTGTTGTCATGGCTACAAATTGCTGTCAATCAAGAAACTGGATCAGACCGGAATTCTTTGGTAATAGCAACAGGTTTTGTCAAAACAACACTGTCTCCGAAGCAAGTGTAATGTATGCGTTATCTCATAGAACATTTAGGTTAGAACCACTTAGCAGACTGAGGGGTGGAGTACAGTATTCTATTTCCTTTTTTGTTTATATTTTTTATTTACAATTTTAATGTCCATGAGTAAATACATGGCAGTTACATAAATACCCTATGAACTATTCTTGACAATGTGGGATAGTTCGGTTTATGCCATGGCTACCCCTCCACACTTTGTCCTGATAAAGTCCTTGAAAAGTTGTTTTTAAAAATATATGACCAAAAGAATTGTTACCAAAAAATTGTAAGATGTTTGTTTAATTACCCTTACAGCACCTATGTATTTTAAATTAGAAGTGGCATTATATACCGATGTAATTGGAAATAAATTGTCAGAAAAGAGCCATTGTCAATAAAAAGAATAGGAATTTAAAAAAAAAAAGATTTTGATTGCATATAAAAAATGGAAAAAAAGATATAATAAAAATATGAAAAGTAAGGGTAACTATATTCAGTATTACAAATTTAAACAAGGCAGCAAAGCTGTCAAATGTACAGACAAAAACCAGAAAATAAAAACGCAGGAAATAGGATACTGTCAATTCTGATAAACTAATGTATTATGCTTACTGTAACTGCATAGCCAACATCAAATTCTTATTCTGCATAACATTGGATTAGGATGAAAGTAAAATGTGTATCAAGCATTAGACTAAGTTCCCATACCTAGATCAATCTAACAGGATCAATCCAACTCCAAGGGGTTTCTCAATAAATTGCTTNCTACCCCATCAACTGGAAATTAACCTGATTGACTTTGTTATTCACTTGCTCTACTTCTATAATAAGGTTTATAAGAAAGTACAGTATGGTACAACAACTCTTTACAGCATCTGCTTAAACTTTTTAAATGAATTATTTAAATTGGGCTAGTGTTTTTTGATTCGGGCTAGTAAAGTTTGAGAGAAGTTTTTTTTCGTTTCGCTTTCAACCCCGGCAATTAAAATTAAATTAATTTTTTAAGATTAAAATATGGATATATGTAGAAGTTATATTTATTTCATAATAATTTTTTATATATCCATTATTTTTATATATTATGATGATGATGATGAGCTAGCAGAGGAGGATGTGTACAAACAGTTAAAGGAACTGACTAGAATATGAATGTGTTCAGATAATCATATAGAAATAAAAATGGATGTTAAACATGTATGCGTTTTCATTATAGCTTTAAACAACTAATTTTTAACGTAAAATTTTACGGACCAGTACTTCTTGGTACGGACCAGTACCTCTAAGGTCCACTGGTCCGTATTGGCCAGTCCTGCCCAAATTCTGTTTTGACCCCTGTAAAGACAGTTTGATTAAGTCAGGTCAGCCAAGCACAGTACATATAATCTTTTCCAATTACGATAATCACTCTGTTAAAAGACATTCTAATCCAATATATGCCACACACACACATACTAGTATATATAATGGAAGAACAGCTTTGACTCATTCAGTCCATCTTTGATATGAATTATTGATTTCAGAGTGGAAGGAGTTTCCATGTGTATGACCAGGGGAGGTTTGCCAAAGAGGTCCTACCTCTTTACTTCAAGCACAACAACATTGCAAGTTTTATCAGACAGTTGAACATGTGTAAGTATACAGAACAAAATGGAAAATGTGAGCTGCTTTAACTCATGGATTTGAAAAGCTGTATGGATCATGCTTTTGAGCTGGTTTCAGATGTAGCAGCTATGAAATTAACAGGAAATTATATTTTACCCACATAAATGTCATATAGTAGACACAATTTAAAAAAAAATCAAAATATAATTATAAAATGCTTTTATGAACAATGACAATTTTCGTGTACAGAAATGAGTATAATGAGATATATGCATTATGCATAACTGTTATTGTTGGGTATATATTTCAACAACTTGTACTGTGCAAAGATGGAATAGACAAATATTAAATTAATTTTGAATTCGTATTTAGTACTGCAGTTTAGGTATGATGTGTGGCATGTTGGTTCTGTGGTAGCTTGTATAATTCAGCTTAACTCCTTCTTTTCAGATGGATTCCGTAAGGTGACCAATGTTGACCAGGGCAGCCTTAAAGTGGACAAAGATGACATGGAGTTTGCACACCCATATTTCTTGAAGGACCACGAGTACCTCTTGGACCTCATCAAGAGAAAGGTAAGATGTGCAGTTTGAATTTTGAAAGAGCTTGGCAGCCTCTGTGTTATAATTGCATATATTAGGAACCCCAAAAGACAAAGCCAATTAATCAACTTTACTTACAACCAAACAGTGGGAACTTGAACTGGAAGTGAAAATTGTGAAAGCCCCAGAGGCATAATTATATCTTTAAGTGTACTGGTCCTTACTGTATCACAAAACTATACTGTCCTGTGAAATTGGGCCTTAGAATGGCTTTAGGAGACCAGAATTCGAAGCAGCTTTAAGCTTCCAGTGATGTTAAAATGCTCTGTTGTGATGACTTATTCTGTGTGACATTTACCACCGGTGACAGGATATTGCACTTGGAAAGAGACACTGTCAGGCACATAAGCCTTTCAAATGCCAGCTCAGATTTCATAATACTGTAATACATTGAAGATATTATGTGAAAGATGATAACTTAAAGATTTTTTTCCAGTGGTTTCTGGGAAATGCTATTACTGTTTTAAGAATGGGATTGGGTTAATTTGCTATGTAGAATATGCATACAGTGGGTGAAAGTTTTCAGGATTTTCAGTGTTCATTTAGTTTTTTCATATGGTCTATATGCCATGAGAAATTGCAAGCTTCGTTTTCAGGATTTTTAGTTTTGTACAACTTTCACCCCTGAATATGCGAGATGTACAAAGCATACCAAATATTATGTAGATTTTTTTAAACAGCCACTATAAAATGAACCACCCAGCATTTTATTGATGGAATGAGAGTTTTTTGCCCAAAAATGAATTGCAAGTGCAGCACAGGCCAGTTTCATGTTGCTGTGAAGATAAGCTGAATCTCAGCCAGTCTTATGATGGACAGGCACTGTCTAGACATAAAAATATGACGTGTGTCATAAATGCTCCAGACTGTTGAGCACTCTGTACCACACTCAAGTTTGTTATATATATATATAATTCAATGAACTTATCTCCTGTTATAAAAATTACCCAGGTATATTCCCACATTGTCTGTTCTTTTTTAAGTGTACAGAGCTATTCAGACTTGTCAACAAATTTATACAGAGCTGTGTCTTATGGTTGCCTCATTTTGGCACCAACCCAATGACATGTCTGTTGGATGCCAAAAGGAGGCTCACTTCTGGATGGGAATGGAACCTTGTTTTGGCACCAACCAAAACATCTGTTTGTTTTCTACACCTATCTTGAATGATGAATATAAAAAGAAACAAAAAAAAGAGAAAAATCAAAGCATTTAGCTTATTTTTTTTTGTTCAATGAATTATGAATTTATTACACCATCTTTGTTTTTACATCACAGCTTTATATTGACCTTTAGTAAGCCATATTGCACATTAGCAAGTAGGGAATAATGAATAATATGCTGATTGGTTATATTGTGTTTATGTGCAGACACAGTATATCTGTTCATATAGCAATCACCTGCATCTGACTCCCTTGTTGTTTCTTTTTTTACTGTAAAAAAAAAAAAGGATAACAATGTGCCATATTACCCTCAAACCTACTGGAGCTTTTGTAAGGACTAAAATACAGCTTGATTATATTAAAAAAATCCTGATAGGCTTCTTTATTTTGTCTTAGGTTGGAGGTAGCACGCGAGATGACGTGAAGGTCCGACATGAGGACGTGTCCAAGGTTTTGAGTGACGTGAAGTCAATTCGTGGGAAGCAAGAAAACATGAATTCAAAATTGGATGGGATGAAGAGGTGAACCTTTTTAAAGGATATTGAATTAAAAATTTACCCCCTGTATATTTCTCCTTTCACTCTTCTCTTCTCTTCAGAACAGCGTTTAAAATATTATTACATTTAAGGAAAATAGCTCTTGATATAAAATTTCCAGTGTCAAGTGATATCACCACAGGGTTTTGTTTCATCATGTGATACAATGTTTGTTTTTTTTTTCATGTGAAACAATATTTTTTACAGAGAAAACGAGGCATTATGGAGAGAAGTGGCCTCACTTCGACAAAAACACATGAAGCAACAACAGATAGTTAACAAGGTAAGTTTGTTTCTGGCAGTTACTGGTTAAACTGATAGTCTTTAGAAGTACTTATATAACACTCACTTATCATTTGAGTATGCATCAAGAAATGTCTGTCTTCTGGAAGTCCAAGAGTACAGTCTTTAACTTGTTTTTATACACGTTATTTGAAAGACGGAATACATTTTGTTTTTATTGGTCACATTCAGAGTTTCCCCAGTATTTGGTATGCAGGGAATCCAATATCTATAATTTGGTTATAAGTTTACTGGGGGTCCAACTTAAGCAAGTCCAACCAACCAACTCAAAAATTTGTATGCCTTCCAGCCATCTTTGGTAATATAGACCGTATTTTTAGTCTAATGGCCGTCCAAAGGACAGCAAGATGGCTCTCTGTGGAAACCCTTGGTCACATTTTTTTCTCTTTTTTGTAGTTAATTCAGTTTCTGATGCATCTTGTGGGAAGTCGTAAGGTTCTTGGGAAGCGGAAACTACCTCTAATGTTGAATGACTCCAGTCAGTTAGAGCCGAGCTGTAAAATCAGCCGACTGTCCGCTGACGAATCTCACACAGCAACGGTAAGTGATGTCTGGGAAGGTCAGAAAGAGTTTATCATTTCCTGTCAGAATTGGTTAGACAAAACTGGCCTTGAATTTCTTTGGATATTGGCAGGCAGAATTTTTTTTAATTCAACTTTAGACCTTGTTTGGTAAAAGTACGGTCAAAATTTGGTATTAAGTTAAAGTATTGCACTTTCTTTAAAGACCAACTTTGTGGGAATTTTTAATTTCACTAAAATATGATGATTTTAATTATATAAAACAGCGTTTTAGTGAAGTTTGTACATTATATTCTTATACCTCATTTTACATCAGTAGTGACTTAATTATTTGTATGTCCCAGCCTCAGGACCCTTGTCAAGTGGACAACAAACCCCTGATTCATGAAGTGACCGACTTGAGTAACTTGGCTGGTATTGCAGAACAGACAGAGTCCATTGTCCAGTCTCCAAAGCCTACAGATAATAGCAAGGTAGGTGTGTGTGTGTGTGTGTGTGTGTGTGTGTGTGTGTGTGTGTGTGTGTGTGTCAGATTTAACGGAGAAGTGGGAGAGAGAGAGCATTTGTAAATCTAAATAAGTATCTTTTTACTCCAGTTTTGCTAAAAGAAAGAAAGAAAGAAATTTCCATAGATTTAGATAGTTCAGACTGGTTATGCTGTATGAATTGTATATATATTTAACAGAGAGGACTGAGCATTCTGTGATATGAACCACATGTAATTTTTTCCCCACAGGGTGAAATGCCACAATCCAGCATGTCTAATGCAGACAATCCAGATGAGGCAACATTTAAAGAAACAGAGGAACTTATTCAGTCTTTGAGCGAACCCCTCAACACCGAGAACTCGGCAGACAACTCACTGGACATGGCCCTGAGCAAGTAAGGAAGTGAACATTAGAAATAGCTTTAAGACCCTAGACTTAATGTAATAGTGGGATTGAGAGTGGGGTCAGAAATTACTGTGGACTAATGAGTGTGGTGTAGCAATGAATAAAAGACATTTAAGGCTGTCTCAGATGATTTCCATTGAAATGTCATAAAAGCAAGTTTTTTTTTTTTTTTTAATATCTGTATAGATAGAAAAGAATGAATGAAAAAGATTGTTTTGGGGATCAGATAGTAACATTAAAGTTGAAAATTGAGGTATTTAAGATAGAAATTTTGCATGTAAGTCATTTGAAAAGAGGAAAATTGATAGCTTAACAGTTGATTGCAATAAGTCAAAAGCTGACTACCTCACTCTTTGTATTTTGACATATTGCAATGAATTTTTCTTTGCCTTTTAGGATAACATCTCAACTTGTTCCAGCTATGTATTTTGTACACCTGGTTTGGATGAGGTCTTTAGACATAAATATGTTTCCTGAAAGAAAAGAAATAGATAAAAGGGTTGTGGAATTGGACCTCATCAAAACCATTAATTTATAGTAAATATTGTCACTTCACTGTTTCACTTTCACTTGCACCATCTAATCACCCCCAACCTCAAGACTTACTCCAGCTTTTGGTATCTGCATACACAATGATATTGTTTCATTCTCAATATTGACCATAACTACCAGTATTATCATCCCTATTCTCAGATTCTCTTTGAAATAATAACAAGTATGAATCTGGAGGCAAATTTCCATTTAGGTTGTTGCAGCAAATATTTGTGCCTTCCATCTCATCAAACATTGGTGATTACAATTTCTAACCATAGGAATCCTGTCTTACCTTAACACTGATGAAAACCAAAGATAGGACTGGCTACCTATGGTTACATATCATAACTTTTCTGGGTAACTCAATTCTGATAATTACTAATAAATGGATCCCCCTCCAAATTTAATTAATTCTAAGTTAGCCCATTTTTGACCTATCTTGAAAATTGTATCAAAATCTGTTGATAACTTTTTGAGTTGGGCTGCTACCTAACAAACCAACAAAGGCAAAAACATGGCCATCTTGATAGAGGTAATAACTTGGTCAGTTGAGAGAGCACTATTCTAAGTTAAACCATCAAACCTGGACTGGAAATGCACCCTGAAACTTGTATAAGTGTCTGTAACAATGTTGTGATTAATGTTTTCTCACTTCAGCAGTAGCAGCAATGTTAGCGGTGGTAGTAATAATAACCCCACCTTTACAAGACAAAACAGTTTAAAACTACAGTAAGTGAAAGGGACTATTTGACCCGTGTTTATGTGCAGACAGCATCTGCCCGTTGGAGCCAAACTATTCACTTTACTTTGATACTTCATTATAACATATGTATATTTATCATTTATACTAACTTTGTGTTAAAGAGTAGCTTTGATGAAATAATAATGAAATGGTTTAGAAGTAAAGTCGTTTTTTTTTATTTGCTTATTTATTTATTGCAAATTTGTTGTAATGCAGTGTTCGTAATTCTGGACTCTGGGTTGTTTTGAATGCATTCCTAACAATTGGCTGTGCATGTTGCTTAACATTATTGCTATGTTGTGGTTGTAAGTGGGTCTCTGTTGTACAGAGTTTCCCAGGAATTGAGAAGTGGCTCCATCTGCTAAACACCATAATAACTACTGCCATAACTGTTTTTCCCAGGGTACATGGTTCAAGTTTTTTGTAATACTTTATTGCATGTTTCATTTGCCAATTTCAAAGGGACTGGTTTTGTTTATTATTATTTTTTATTATTTTTTGATTTTATTTTTTCTATTTTTCATTTTATTTTTTGTTTTATTTAAAATGTATATTTCATTTTTGTTGTTTTATTTAGTTTGTTCATTTTTATTTATTTATTTATTTTTAGAGAGAAAGAGATAAATGTATTTATTCAATTTAAATTGTCTCAGTGACCATTATATTAAATAAGATGATGCTCTACATTAAAAAGGATGCAAATTTCATAAAACTTCTGTTTAAGTCATTATTTGTTTTCAGCTCTTCTCTCTGGAGTTGCAAGGTTGAACAAAGATGAACTGTCAGTTATTTGGCTACTTTCTCTACTGCCACATATTTTATAATACAATCAAAACATTTTATTTCTTTTGTTTTAAGTGCTTAATATTCTGTTTCAGAAATGACATGACAGATCACCTGGACACCTTGCAGACAGACCTGGATTCTCTTAAAGACATCCTCTCCGGAAGCTCCTACAACCTGGATCCTGCCATGATACTCGGGGTATGTCAGCCTAACTGGTGATCAGAAAGGTCTCATGAACAGGGGCTGTTTGGGGGGGTACTTTGTAATGATCCTGCCATTATACTTGGCTGTTCAGAGGGGGGGATACTATGAAATGATCCTGCTTTGACACTAGAGGTAAGTCACATAGTAGACCTGGCCAACATCCATATTGCATCATCAGTGGAGTAATCAAACCAAGGATGTTATACTGTCAGTTGGTGTAGTATCAATTGTTATCATCCTAACAGCTATTTTGTACTCACTAAAACAGTCTCTTTCAGTTGCAATTTTAAATTGGTTTTCAAAATAACTTTTTTGAATTTTTTTTTTTTTCAAATTTGGATTACACATTAAACAAAAGCCAGCATCTAACATACTTACACATTGGCTGACTGTGTTTTTACAGCTCTTTAACCCGGAGAGTCCAGCTCCCAATTTGTCACAAATTCCGAGCAACGTAAGTAAACTGTCCAATCAGAGTGCACTTCAGGGGTTACGCTGGTATATTGCTTCTGGTGATCATGTAACAGAAGCTTTTTGACAAAATTTTGTTATTAAAAAGATTGGCAGGAGAAATTTGTATGTCAAAAAATGTGATCAGATATTTTCTAACTAAAAATTAATTTCAATGTGAAAATAGATGGAAAGAAATGTTTTGAGTCAAAATATCTATTTTAGGCCAATTTGCCAGCCTGGTCCCAGTCTACATTAAGATTAGATGACAGTTTTGACAAGTTTGATAACCACGTCTACACTGGTGTATTTTCTTCTTCATTGTGACTGCGTATTTAAGATTTACTTGCTGTTTATTGTTTATTTGCATAAAATAGATTTTTTTAAAGAAAAAATGTATATTATATAGATTCCCAAAAGCAGGAAAGCAGACTTGATGGGATATCTCCTTTTTTTAAATAAAAATGAATTGCATATGCAAGAGAATTACTAATGATAAGAGTAATGATACAGTAATTGTTTGAATATTTGTTGTTCAGATTTTCATGGATGAAGATGATTCAGCAAGAGATGGAACAATATTAGGTGAGCCTTGAGATGAAATGGTGTCATGTTGACTTCATAGCTTACAAAGCTATTGTTCTTTACCTAACAGTTCCACAGACTTGATGTATAATTCGTTTTAACTATGTCCAATTTTGGCTTTGCATGAAATTAAATTTTTTTAAGGTTTGGACAGTTAAATCTCCCCTTTATTCAAACCTGTCTCCCCCGTATCTCCCTCAGGTAATGAGCTGATAGAGTACAACCCCCCAGAGGGTCTGCCCAACCTGTTTGATCTCGTCCCAGTGGAAGACAACGTAGACGCCATCTTGGACCCTCTGAACAGCCCCCTGAGCCCAGCAGGAGACAAGGATAAGGACGGACCTAGCAAGGATTATCTGAGTAGCATGGAGGAGGTGGATTAATGATCAAGGCTGGAGTGCACAGTACCTTTTCAATTAGGCCTTGCCTTTGTTATGAATAATCTGGAAGAAATTCTGTGACAGCAAAGCCATCACTTCTATCCAGTGACTGATTCTGGTAAATGAGAAAGCTCTGGCATAGTGAGTGATGCTAAAATGTGGATTTTCAATACTGTTTAACTTGCAAAAAGGATTATATGTTTTCAGGGTGCACAAACATGCATTTTTTGTATTCCCTCGGAGATTGACTGTTTCGAGCTAGCAAGTAGAAAACATCAATTTGATGAGATGTTTCTTCCGTGGATTACGTGGAGAGGCATCTGTGGTGAATTTTCTGGAAATTGCAAAGACTACTATGGTAGCTTGGAAGAGGAAGAAAGAAATATGGTGGTTAAATGTTATTTGTCTGTATATCCTTTATACACAGGATGGCAGAAAAGAGGGGAGACCTTAGTGAATAACACTGTATAGGTGGTGCTGACTGAGATTTTAATGCATTTGTTATATAAATAGAACTGAGTAGATTATGAAGAAAGAAACAGTTGGAAATGACTTCTTTTGAAATGAGGTGGTATTACATGAGCAACTGTAATCAAACATATGGTCTTTGGAATATATCTGTCATCCTGCTGTGATGGTAATCAAGAGCACAAGCAAATGGTTGATTTCTACGTAAGTTATAGTACAAAACTCAAGAGTCAAGGACAAGGAAACTGTGGATTTGTCCTGTCCTGGAGACCATGGATTCCTCCTGTCCTGGAGAAATACGTCCACGCTAGGTAATCATAATAGCGCTATGTAATCCAGCACCTGCCATGGGCAAGACTTGATATTTTCATTAGCACAATATATATCAGTTGTTGCTCTCTGTAGACATCTATTCTAGCTTAAGATAGGTATATATAATGAGAGGGTGTCACTGAATAGATGAATTGTTCAGAATGGGGGAAGGCTGTCTGGACCTTTGGCCTAGATGTGTTAAGTGAGCATTAGTCTTCAAGGAGCTAGAGGTGAGAACAGGGTTCTGTAACTCAAAAGCATCGCGATTTGCGAATCACCTTTCATTTCGAGGCTATTCGGGGCCCATATGGAATAGAGATGCTTGCGCTCGGTTTCAATTTGCGATGCTTTCAAGTTACGAAGCGCAGGTGGAATGTTCATTTAAAATTTGCACTGACGTCATCTGGCCTACATATCTCAGATACCCCTATGGGGACTTGCACATATGCACACACCTACTGAATTATATGCCAGGTATTCGAGAAAGTCAGTTGAAGGTTTGAACATGCCCGTTGGCATATGATAGAAATGATATATTGTGCTGCTTTTAATTTAGTTTTCAGAAATATATAATGCAAAAGAATATCATGAAGTGAAATTAGATAACAGTGAGTTGATGTTCATTTCAAATCGGCATTGAGACTGCATTGATTTCTGTATAGCATATACACATACATATATACCTCATGTTAGGAAAGCAGAGTCTAGATGCTCCTTGCCAGTTGTTATGTATGACAGTCTAAGGCACCCTGAAACACAGAGGTTACTGGATATCCACCTCTGCTGTCTCCAGTCTCCTGGACCTCTGCAATGCAGGGTGGGGTTAGTCAGTAGAAGCTTTATCATACTTTGACTGGTAAAATAGTGAGCATAATATATTAAAAGATTCTTTTCTACACTGCTGGCAGAAAGTGTAGTACATATAGGTGGGCTGTGTAAATTTTTTTCAATATTTGAAAAGAAAATGGCCTCAAAAGAAAACCTTTTCATTTTGAAAGCTGAGGGCAAAATGATCTGGGGATGCCCAATGTAGGCATATAAACCTTATCAGTCATATGGCAACTGGCTGCGCGTAGGTAAGTATTCAGAACGGAGCGCGTGCGCTGAGATGACGTCGCGGTCGGAAATTTGTAAATTTCGCAACCATCGCGGAAATTCATGAATTGTGCTCAGTCGCCCTCATACGTGCTTTGAAAAAATAAAGACGTGGTAGTAGAGTTCACTACGCATTTCGACACGTGCGATTTACCTATTAGTAAGCAGAAATGAAATAGCTAGAACTCGACANATATTTGACCCGTGTTTATGTGCAGACAGCATCTGCCCCTTGGAGCCAAACTATTCACTTTACTTTGATACTTCATTATAACATATGTGTATTTATCTTTTATACTAACTTTGTGTTAAAGAGTAGCTTTGATGAAATAATAATGAAATGGTTCAAATAAATTTTTTTTTTTTATTTGCTTATTTATTTATTGCAAATTTGTTGTAATGCCATGTTCGTAATTCTGGACTCTGGGTTGTTTTGAATGCATTCCTAACAATTGGCTGTGCATGTTGCTTAACATATTGGTATGTTGTGGTTGTAAGTGGGTCTCTATTGTACAGAGTTTCCCAGGAATTGAGAAGTGGCTCCATCTGCTAAACACCATAATAACTACTGCCATAACTGTTTCTCCCAGGGTACATGGTTCAAGTTTTTAAATGTAATACTTAATTGCATGTTTCATTTGCCAATTTCAAAGGGACTGGTTTTGTTTATTGTTATTTTTTATTAGTTTTCTATTTTATTTTTTCTATTTTTCATTTTTTTGTTTTATTTAAAATGTATATTTCATTTTTGTTGTTTTATTTAGTTTGTTCATTTTTATTTATTTATTTTTAGAGAGAAAGAGATAAATGTATTTATTCAATTTTAATTGTCTCAGTGACCATTATAGTAAATAAGATGATGCTCTACATTAAAAAAGATGCAAATTTCATAAAACTTTCTGTTTAAGTCATTATTTGTTTTCAGCTCTTCTCTCTGGAGTTGCAAGGTTGAACACAGATGAACTGTCAGTTATTTGGCTACTTTCTCTACTTTGCCACATATATTTTATAATACAATCAAAACATTTTATTTCTTTTGTTTTAAGTTCTTAATATTCTGTTTCAGAAATGACATGACAGATCACCTGGACACCTTGCAGACGGACCTGGATTCTCTTAAAGACATCCTCTCCGGAAGCTCCTACAACCTGGATCCTGCCATGATACTCGGGGTAAGTCAGCCTTACTGGTGATCAGAAAGATCTCTTGGACAGGGGCTGTTTGGTGGGGGGGTCTGTGTATTGATCCTGCCATGATACTTGGCTGTTCAGAGGGGGGGGGGGGATACTATGAAATGATCCTGCTTTGACACTAGAGATAAGTCACATAGTAGACCTGGCCAACATCCATATTGTGTCATCAGTGGAGTAATCAAACCAAGGATATTATACTGTCTGTTGGTGTAGTATCAGTTGTTATCTTCCTAACAGCTATTTTGTACTCACCAAAACAATCTTTCAGTTGCAGTTTTAAATTGGTTTTCAAAATAACCTTTTTGAATTATTTTTCACATTTGGATTACACATTAAACAAAAGCCAGCATCTAACATACTTACACATTGGCTGACTGTATTTTTACAGCTCTTTAACCCGGAGAGTCCGGCTCCCAATTTGTCACAAATTCCGAGCAACGTAAGTAAACTGTCCAATCAGAGTGCACTTCTGGGGTTACGCTGGCACATTGCCTCTGGTGATCATGTAACAGAACTCTTTTCACAGAATTTGATAATTAAAAACATTGGCAGGAGAAATTTGTATGTCAAAAAAATGTGATCAGATATTTTGTAACCAAAAATTAATTTCAGTGTGAAAATAGATGGAAAGAAATGTTTTGAGTCAAAATATCTATTTTAAGCCAATTTGCCAGCCTGGTCCCAGTCTACATTAAGATTAGATGACAGTTTTGACAAGTTGGATAACCACGTCTACACTGGTGTATTTTCTTCTTCATTGTGACTGCGTGTTTTAGATTTACTTGCTGTTTATTGTTTATTTGCATAAAATAGATTTTTTTAAAGAAAAAATGTATATTATATAGATTCCCAAAAGCAGGAAAGCAGACTAGATGGGATATCTCCTTTTTTTAAATAAAAATGAATTGCATATGCAAGATAATTACTAATGATAACAATAATGATACACTATTTGTTTGAATATTTGTTGTTCAGATTTTCATGGATGAAGATGATTCAGGAAGAGATGGAACAATATTAGGTGAGCCTTGAGATGAAATGGTGTCATGTTGACTTCATAGATTTCAAAGCTATTGTTCTTTACCTAACAGTTCCACAGACTTGTTGTTTAATTCATTTTTAACTATCTCCAATTTGGCTGAGACTTTGTGTGAAATTAAAATTTTTAAAGGTTTGGACAGTTAAATTTTTCCGTATATTCAAACCTGTCTCCCCGTTATCTCCTTCAGGTAATGAGCTGATAGAGTACAACCCCCCAGAGGGTCTGCCCAACCTGTTTGATCTCGTCCCAGTGGAGGACAACGTAGACGCCATCTTGGACCCCCTGAACAGCCCCCTGAGCCCAGCAGGAGACAAGGATAAGGACGGACCTAGCAAGGATTATCTGAGTAGCATGGAGGAGGTGGATTAATGACTAAGGCTGGGTCGGACAGTACCTTTTCAATTAGGCCTTGCCTTTGTTATTGATTATCTGGAAGAAATTCTGTGACAGCACAGCCATCACTTATATCCAGTGACTGATTCAGGTAAACGAGAAAGCTCTGGCATAGTGAGTGATGTTAAAATGTGGATTTTCAATACTGTTTAACTTGCAAAAAGGATTATACATTTCAGGGTGCACAAACATGCATTTCCTCGGTGATTGACTGTTTCGAGCTAGCAAGTAGAAAACATCAATTTGATGAGATGTTTCTTCCGTGGATTATGTGGAAAGGCATCTGTGTGGTGAATTTTCTGGAAATTGCAAAGACTACTATGGTAGCTTGGAAGAGGAAGAAAGAAATATGGTGGTTAAATGTTATTTGTCTGTATACCCTTTATACACAGGATGGCAGAAAAGAGGGGAGACCTCAGTGAATAACACTGTGTAGGTGGTGCTGACTGATATTTTAATGCATTTGTTATATAAATAGAACTGAGTAGATTATGAAGAAAGAAACAGTTGGAAATGACTTCTTTTGAAATGAGGTGGTATTACATGAGCAACTGTAATCAAACATATGGTCTTTGAAATATATCTGTCATCCTGCTGTGATGGTAATCAAGAGCACAAGCAAATGGTTGATTTCTACGTAAGTTATGGTACAAAACTCAAGAGTCAAGGACAAGGAAACTGTGGATTTGTCCTGTCCTGGAGACCATGGATTGCTCCTGTCCTGGAGAAATACGTCCACGCAAGGTTACCATAATAGTGCTATGTAATCTAGCACCTGCCATGGGCAAGACTTGATATTTTCATTAGCACAATATATATCAGTTGTTGCTCTCTGTAGACATCTATTCCAGCTTAAGATATGTATATATAATGAGAGGGTGTCACTGAATAGATGATTTGTTCAGAATGGGGGAAGGCTGTCTGGACACTTGGCCTAGATGTGTTAAGTGAGCATTAGTCTTCAAGGAGCTAGAGGTGAGAACAGGGCTCTGTAACACAAAAGGATCGCGATTTGCGAATCACCTTTCATTTCGAGGCTATTCGGGGCCTATATGGGGGAAGTAAATCCCGAGTTATGGAATAGAGATGCTTGCGCTCGGTTTCAATTCGCGATGTTTTCGAGTTACGAAGCGCAGGTGGAATGTGCATTTAAAATTTGCACTGACGTCATCTGGCCTACATATCTCAGATACCCCTATGGGGACTTGCACACATGTACACACCTACTGAATTATATGCCAGGTATTCGAGAAAGTCAGTTGAAGGTTTGAACATGCCCATTGGCATATGATAGAAATGATATATTGTGCTGCTTTTAATTTAGTTTTCAGAAATATATAATGCAAAAGAATATCATGAAGTGAAATTAGATAACAGTGCGTTGATGTTTAGTTCAAATCGGCATTGAGACTGCATTGATTTCTGTATAGCATATACACATACATATATACCTCATGTTAGGAAAGCAGAGTCTAGGCGCTCCTTGCCAGTTGTTATGTATGACAGTCTAAGGCACCCTGAAACACAGAGGTTACTGGATATCCACCTATGCTGTCTCCAGTCTCCTGGACCTCTGCAATGCGGGGTGGGGTTAGTCAGTAGAAGCTTTATCATACTTTGACTGGTGAAATAGTGAGCATAATGTATTAAAAGATTCTTTTCTACACTGCTGGCAGAAAGTGTAGTACATATAGGTGGGCTGTGTAAATGTTTTTCAATATTTGAAAAGAAAATGGCCTTAAAAGAAAACCTTTTCATTTTGACAGGCTGAGGGCAAAATGATCTGGGGATGCCCAATGTAGGCATATAAACTTTATGCCAATTCTGTTGGATGAAGTTGGGCCTCATCTTCTTCATGTGCACTGTTGTTAACATATTGTTCTAGTTCCGTGTAGTTATCCATTTCTTCTCCTTCTGATACTAGTACCATATGTGGGCTTAAACAAATTATCTAGTGGATACTCTCTAGACGCAAGGTCAATCCCCCCTGTTGTTGCTGTGAAGAAACATTGGAAATGGTCTGAAATTTTAAACATTTGCAGTTCCCATTGTAAAGCTTGAGCGTCTTTTCACCTCTTTAAGAAACAATGGAGGCTGGATCTGACATTTTGTTTTGCAAACTTGATTCACCTTTGTCATTTGTGTTGCAGGAATTTATCCCATTTCCGTTCACAGTATAGACCAGTTATTCATAGTTGATACTTCATATTTGATTTTACTGAAAAAACCTAAAATTTGTTGTAAAGAATTTACACGTTAAATCTATATTCCGTGCCATATTTTATCATCTCCCATATGCAGGACAAGGTGCATTTACACTGCAAGCAGTCCAATTAGGGGTACTTCAGAAATGTGATAATCCCACGTTTTTATCCCCTCGTGTCCTGTGCCACACCCAACTTGGCTGAATTACACGACGCACAGAGAAGAGTCTGTGCAAGAAGGACCTGCTTAACTTCAATGTGAATGCACCTTCAGATGTGAGGGAGCAAGGGGATTGGAGAAAAGAAAGAAGCTAGTGACTGATGAAAAAAAATTAGCAATGGCTTTTTGTTTAGAAAACTGTAGCTGTTAAGTTTTTGACAGGGTACTGTTTTGTCCATTGAAATAATGACCAACATCCCAGAGCAACACACGTGTACATGATGTTTGCCTTTAAATTTTGAAAAATGGATTTATTTTTGCAAAAATTCCTTTTGTATTGCTGTTCTGTATATTTCACCCACCTCATGTTTGTCAAAAAGAGGTGTTGAGACTAATAATTAAAACTCAAATATAGATTGATATTGAAAGTTGACAAACATTTAGGATAATTATAATGCATCAGTTAGTTTCTGTACATACTTGTATATAAATACATTGTTCATGTTTTAGAGAAGAAATGGCAACAAATATATTTTGCAGCAGAACTAACATTGTAATTAATGTTTTTAAATAACATTTTAAAAATGCATTTTACAAAATGTGATATGATATTTCAATGTAAAAGGCACCTGACAGCTGCAGACATGGGGAAAACTAAGCAGATACTGAATGTCCAGAGGACCTGCACTACGAGATATCTGCAGGTCCTCCCAATGCTGTTACGGTCCCAACTAAGATTATAAATTCTGTGAGTCGATGTTTACATGTGATGTATTATTTTGTATTGTCTTCTCATGTAAAGCCTGGAAGTCCAGGGGACCTGTGATATCAAAAGTCTTGCAGGTCCTCTGGCATTTCAAGAAGTCATTACCAGTTCAACAGGTAGTTTCCCCATGTCTGCACCCATCATAGAACTACTGTAGTAGTCTCTTTGAGGTTAATCTTTTTTTTTTGACTTTGAGCCATTGCCCCATTCTACAGCCTCTTACCTGGTTTACTTTAATTTTCTTCCAATTGCTGATACTTTAACCACCTCGATATCAAGTGATATTTATTTCACTAAAAAAAATTCTCGCACTTAAAAATTGTCAGGTACATTATTCTCAGTGTTGCCAGAGTTTAGAAAATGAGAAACCCAAAATACCATGAAGAGGATTTCATACTTGATTTTTTTCCACATTTTTCTTTACCTTGTACCCAGACTTTGAGCTGTTGTTTTTTGAGAGAAAACACTTGGTAAATCTTCTTGTGGAAGGAGTTCGTTTTTTTATAGAATTTAAGCATTATTTATGAATACAGTTATCACTGTTAATGGTATCAATCATTATAATAAGCATGAGTATTTCTTTTTCAATATTGTTGAATTGTTACAGAAGATATTATTAATAACTATTTTATGCTAGTGCCACAACATGGTAAATGCTGTAGTATTATCATTTGTACTGTTGTTTTATATTCAATTAGGTATCTAATTTATTACTTTGATATTCATTAGTGGCTTACATAGCTTTGCAACACTGAAACATTTTCAGTGTCAGATTTTTTGTCAGAAATAAAATTTGAAAAGAATAAAAAATTTTAAAAGGCAAGAATCCAATTTTGATTGCTTTGGCTCTGCTGAGTTATTCAGATAAGCTTATTTTTGCCTGGAATCTGGATTCAAGTATTTTATTATATTTTAGAAGCAAATTGCAGGCTTTAAAATTCCAAGCAAAATTCATCATTGCCAATATCAAATTCCATATAATTGAATGGTTATTGGAAAAAAATGCACAACAAGAGACTCACACGTTTCCATTATGAGTTGTTAGATGTTTTATTATTCCTTTAATTCCAGGTTGAGCAAAGACACGCCATGGTAAATGCATTGTGCAAGGCACACGTGCTGAAATATTTGAGCAAAGTGAATTTAGGATAGTTCTAGAGATTCTATTATAAATGAAATGCTCAGCTAAAAATAATTACCCTAAGATAAGAGCTATGCGATTTACAGTTTTGATACTTGTTACACCTAAATGTTATATGATATGTATGGAATATTCGGTGGTTGCCCTTATCGTAATATAACAACATTGGACGGAATGCGTACGAAATGCTGAACAACATCAGTTGAGCAATCTCCCATATCACAGGATTGCGACAAAAGCGCAACTAACGCAATTTCTCGAAACTAAATTCCCGTCGTCATTTTTCTAAAAAAAATGTGTGTATGTTTGCGTGGTTTTGAATATTCAACACTTCTGAAGCTCAGCCTCAGTGTTTTGTTTCATATAAAAAAGATTATGCTGTTAATTGTTTATACAGTCTTTTTTATGTTCTCTAATGCGTTTTATCGCCAGGCTTCTGTGGCAATGTTGCGGCTGTACTGTGGATAGGTATCTCTATAACGGGCGCTGGAAATAAAAATAAAATAATCGAAAAAAGTAATTGATGTCATAGATGAAGCTAAAACGAAATTTCGGGAGAAAACCAAAGGAATGGTGTAAGTTTGTGTACACTTCGCTGTTCACTTTATAATCGAGAGGCTGACAATAAGCGATATTCAATTACATGTAGTTGTGTAGGGAGCCTGAAAAACTATCAGATCTGTAAACATTTTAGTAGCATAGCAGAATTTGTGGGTATTAAAACTGATAGCTTTTCATGTTTAAGTGAGTTTTCTAAATGGTGTGAATTTTTATTTTATTTATTCCACTTTTTTTTCACTTGGAAAGTCACAGCAAGAACAGGTTGTTAAACAAAACCGATAAAATACGACTGTTTAGATACTCACAAAACATTGGCTGGCATGGGTCTCTGTCCGTACTGGTCTAACATGGGTTCTTGCTTCAGCGTGTACTAAAAAAACGAAAAAATCGGCGTCTCTCAATACATCTGTCAAGAAGACCAATAAAAACAAAAAAATGACCATGTGCAAAGGCATTTAATAATCTCCGAACGATCTTAAGTTGATATATGGTTAAGCACCTCTCTCTCTCTCACTCTCTCACACACACACACACACACACACACACACACACACNATTGTTACAGAAGATATTATTAAAAACTATTTTATGCTGGTGCCACAACATGGTAAATGCTGTAGTATTATCATTTGTACTGTTGTTTTATATTCAATTAGGTATCTAATTTATTACTTTGATATTCATTAGTGGCTTACATAGCTTTGCAACACTGAAACATTTTCAGTGTCAGATTTTTTGTCAGAAATAAAATTTGAAAAGAATAAAAAATTTTAAAAGGCAAGAATCCAATTTTGATTGCTTTGGCTCTGCTGAGTTATTCAGATAAGCTTATTTTTGCCTGGAATCTGGATTCAAGTATTTTATTATATTTTAGAAGCAAATTGCAGGCTTTAAAATTCCAAGCAAAATTCATCATTGCCAATATCAAATTCCATATAATTGAATGGTTATTGGAAAAAAATGCACAACAAGAGACTCACACGTTTCCATTATGAGTTGTTAGATGTTTTATTATTCCTTTAATTCCAGGTTGAGCAAAGACACGCCATGGTAAATGCATTGTGCAAGGCACACGTGCTGAAATATTTGAGCAAAGTGAATTTAGGATAGTTCTAGAGATTCTATTATAAATGAAATGCTCAGCTAAAAATAATTACCCTAAGATAAGAGCTATGCGATTTACAGTTTTGATACTTGTTACACCTAAATGTTATATGATATGTATGGAATATTCGGTGGTTGCCCTTATCGTAATATAACAACATTGGACGGAATGCGTACGAAATGCTGAACAACATCAGTTGAGCAATCTCCCATATCACAGGATTGCGACAAAAGCGCAACTAACTCAATTTCTCGAAACTAAATTCCCGTCGTCATTTTTCTAAAAAAAATGTGTGTATGTTTGCGTGGTTTTGAATATTCAACACTTCTGAAGCTCAGCCTCAGTGTTTTGTTTCATATAAAAAAGATTATGCTGTTAATTGTTTATACAGTCTTTTTTATGTTCTCTAATGCGTTTTATCGCCAGGCTTCTGTGGCAATGTTGCGGCTGTACTGTGGATAGGTATCTCTATAACGGGCGCTGGAAATAAAAATAAAATAATCGAAAAAAGTAATTGATGTCATAGATGAAGCTAAAACGGAATTTCGGGAGAAAACCAAAGGAATGGTGTAAGTTTGTGTACACTTCGCTGTTCACTTTATAATCGAGAGGCTGACAATAAGCGATATTCAATTACATGTAGTTGTGTAGGGAGCCTGAAAAACTATCAGATCTGTAAACATTTTAGTAGCATAGCAGAATTTGTGGGTATTAAAACTGATAGCTTTTCATGTTTAAGTGAGTTTTCTAAATGGTGTGAATTTTTATTTTATTTATTCCACTTTTTTTTCACTTGGAAAGTCACAGCAAGAACAGGTTGTTAAACAAAACCGATAAAATACGACTGTTTAGATACTCACAAAACATTAGCTGGCATGGGTCTCTGTCCGTACTGGTCTAACATGGGTTCTTGCTTCAGCGTGTACTAAAAAAACGAAAAAATCGGCGTCTCTCAATACATCTGTCAAGAAGACCAATAAAAACAAAAAAAATGACCATGTGCAAAGGCATTTAATAATCTCCGAACGATCTTAAGTTGATATATGGTTAAGCACCTCTCTCTCTCTCTCACTCTTTCTCACACACACACACACACACACACACACACACACAGAGAGAGAGAGAGAGAGAAAGTATTTCATTCTTGTTCTCTCTTTCTTACCTTCCAAGAGGCGGTGACCTCAGGTTTCAGATACCTCACGGCATAGCCCACAAAATGGAGGTCCTTCTTGTCGGGCAACGACGGCAGACGAATGTTGTAACGTTCTGGAGATTTGTTCAGGAAGTCGGACCACTCGCCACGAGTTTTANCACACACACACACACAGAGAGAGAGAGAGAGAGAGAGAGAGAAAGTATTTCATTCTTGTTCTCTCTTTCTTACCTTCCAAGAGGCGGTGACCTCAGGTTTCAGATACCTCACGGCATAGCCCACAAAATGGAGGTCCTTCTTGTCGGGCAACGACGGCAGACGAATGTTGTAACGTTCTGGAGATTTGTTCAGGAAGTCGGACCACTCGCCACGAGTTTTACTGAAAAAAATAATTAAAAAATTAAAGTAAATAGTCTAATAGCAATATTGTACTTATTATCATAAGAGTCTCTTTTTTTCTGTGAATTCCAAAAATATGACAATGTCTGTGTAATACCGTGTAATATTACCATCACAATATTGTAAGACGAGTGAAATTACAGCGTCACCTGTTTCATCTTTAACGACAGTAACCCCCCCCCCCACCCCACCCCCACTCCTTCAGAAGGACAGTTGGGCAATGCAACAAGAAAAGATGTTCATTAAGGTTGCTTAGTTTGCAGCGGATCTAAATCTGTAGAAATTACTTTCACGCCGACTCAAAGACTGCTAAATTCATCAGTCAATATATAAGTTTAGAAGTGACGTGTCTGTATATCAGAACAAAATACCATTGTTTTATGCATCAGATCTAACGGAGGGGGAATATTCAAGAAAAATAGCCCTTTTCTTATGTTATAACACAAGTTATAACATTTTCTCTGACGGAAACAAGCTAAAAGTTCATGATTAACGTCTAATGTTGGATCTGTTCCAATGCACCCCCCCTCAGCCATATCATTATCACTACCTCTCCTAACGGACACCATGTCTTATGTGCAGCCTAAAGCTATACCCTGGCCATTGCTCAAACATGTCAAATATGCGTAAAAGGAAGTCCCAAAATTGTTGTGTTATTGTTTTTGTTTTACATTGTTAATGTGTGCTTATGGTCCATGTGAAAAAAAAAAATAATCACTTCAAAGGCTTCCAAAGTTCAAAGGTAGCCAAAGTTCTATTGCTTCCTGGTAAATGTTCATCAAATTAACACAAGGGAGAAACCAGACTTTATTATTTTTGTCACATACCAGAGACAATATTATGTTTTTTCCGCATTCATTAAAGCAGACACTTAAAGTGAGCTTACGGTCTTATTACTGATTAAAGATATTCATGAAGAGGTACAGTCTTTGCCTGCGGAGGGCGGGTCATTGACTGAGAAGTTTTAATGTGGCCCTTTCTCACGCCAATATAGCTTGAGGTCTTACGACAAAAACATTTCAGTTTAAGATCTTGAGATTAAAAAAAAAAAAGAAAGAAAAACATCACGCCTTACAATATATCATACAGAAACAAGTGTGCTTGCAGACGCTGGACGAGATAAAGGGTTTGTTGTAAAACTCACGTGATTTCTTCTGGTGTTGTGTAAAACCTGTGTAACTGTCTTCCTGTGTCTGTTATATTCTGAAAAATATGTATATTAAAAATAAAACACGCTTTATATATGAATTAACTGCAAACCTTGATTATCATACATGCTTGATTTACAATATATGTTTCTCTGAATCAGATCACTTTGAAAGAATATTGCTAGCCTTTTTCTTTCCTTTTTTTTTATACTTTTTTATGTGCGTTTTTAATTCAACCTTCATTTTTCTTGTTGCTACTACAATCGATTAGATTTGTGCAGTTAGTTTTTGTCTAGGCCAGCGTCTCTCTTACTATAGTGATTGCTGCTGTTGTTGTTTTTAATGATGATGTAATATCAAAGATTTTATCCCACTTCAAAAAAAAAGTCAAAATGGTAACCAAATAAATTACTTACAGCGCCAGATAATCTCTTGGTTGGTGGGGCGAACAATGTCGTTGTTGAGCGTTTGAAGTCCTCTGAAAATGACACAAGAACAAATACCTGTATCTGTTATCCTCTATTTTTTCCCTTTTAAGTTAACAGAAAGATATAATAACGCATATACTTAATATACACTGAAGTTACGTACAGCAGACTTCAGATTTCAGGACAAATCAAAGGGTTATTTTTACCGAATGTCTCCGTACCGAAGCAAAAATTATATTTTTTTCCGATCGTAGAATAAATCTTAATAGTCTGCTCGATACAAATAGCCTCTTTTGACTAGACCTGCGAATCCATCTTTACAGGAAGATCGAGTTACACAATCTGTATTCGTGGCACAGTTATTTCCAATCAATTATTTAAATAATATTGATCTCTGTTCGGATTTGATTGATATCGATTTCATATCACAGCCTATATGTTTTATGACTTTATAAGGTATTTCCTTTTTATTTCTAGATATCTATTTACATATCTGTTCGTTTCTTAATTTAATTTTTTAATCAAATATCGATCTAATAAGACATTATAGCATATCATCTATCGCTATCGACAATGAAATTCAAGCGGTATGAGCTATTTTTATGTAAATAACTTTTTACGTCATGTCCTTTTCACGCCAATATTATCTGACTCATACCTTTAGAATGGTTTATAAAAATACAAATAAGCATGAGCTGTGGCATTGTTCATTCAATAATAAAAAGTCCTTAAACTTTACTGAATGCGTTACTTGTTATGTAGGCCTATTCACCCCCTCCTTTTTGTGCGCGCACATACACTAACACATACATGTTTGCACGCACGCACACACACACACACACACACACACACATACACACACACAGACACACACACACCACCAAAACCCTGAGTACAGATTTAATAGGTTTTTTTCACACATGTGGGTTTCGTTCTTTATTTGCCTTTTCCCTCCAACCCGCGGTAGCTTTAGCTGTAAGCTTGGCTCGGATCTAAACTAAGCCTGTCACTTAGCCTGCTGTCAGGACACGGAACAGAAGCCGTAACTAAGAGCAAATGTCAGAAGTTGTCAGCGAAATATGCCAAGTAATATCACCTGTCTGGGGGGTGGGGGTAAATAAATGAACCTCGTTACCGCGCCTGTCGTGTACAGCGCCATGGTGTGTGATTAGCTCTGATTAGAACGATTAGATGTTATAGTCCTAATTAAGTGATATTCCGTTGACCTAATCGTGTCAGGTAGTGAACAACTTAATTGTTGATTAATTGAAATAAATGAATTTAGTAAGGAATACAGGGACATACTGCGGCTGGTGCAGTTGGGGGGGGGGGGACATAACTTCTAGTAAGCATTCAGTTCAGAAATCTTAGGGCTGGCCTTTGACCTGTGTGAAGATATTAATGAGAATTAAGCCGGAGAGCATAATATACCTTCTACACATGGACGTGTCACTTAAATCATTCAATTATCATTAATCAACGGTTAATTATCCCCTTTAATTTTCTTGTCTAATTTTCGTTTCGAGGTTGAATGGATGTGTAAATGGATCAGGAACTCATCTTGCTCATCATTTTATTATCCATTTAAGGTTCTTCTTTTTTTTCCTTGTATATTTTGCTATGTGATTGAACGATAACCTGAATGTCCAGCTATTTTGGACCGTGGATGTTTCGCGAAATGGTCTATGTTTGAGATAGATTGAGGCTGCTGGTGATAAAATACGTGTAGATATAGGACAGTCAGATATAGGCCCTACTAATACACTAAAACCTACCTGGGCCGCAAGCCGTGGTCGTCCTACAGTGCTCGTCCGGAAGCTTGTGGGCCGCCGTATCCATGTCCATTCTACGGAAAGTCGGTATCCTGGGGTGGAAGAGTCCTTCCTTCACCGCCGCTAACTGTACCCTGCGGAAAGTCGGATACTGGTACGAGTAACTCGGCATCTTCATCGGGAGTATCTTCTCTGAGGGAGGAGGTTGAACGCCTACTGTTGTCATTTTTTGGGGAGTATAAATCAGTCCTCTAGTAAAGTTGTGTTGTCCCTAGATTTTTACCCAAGCTCCTTAGTAAGTCTCTAAGTCACGCTTGTCTACACAAACTTAATTCTAATGTAACTTGAGAAATAAAGGCTCCGGCTGTATATATTATGCTACCGTGTTTTGTCCCATGTGCAGCTAGCGCCGTCGCTAAGGGTGATTGTACACAATGAATACTAATGAGGTGACGTCACAATGACCAACCAATTGCGTCGCAGGACGTTTTGGGACTTTTCACCTGACCACGCAGCGCAGGACAATATGGGACATTAGAAGCAGTTTTTATCGGCTTTTGTTCAAGAAAATATATTGTCTGGGGCTCCTAGCGAGGCCGTAAAAGAAAGAGAAAAATCTAGAGCTTTTTTCTTTTTGATAAAATTGAAAAAGAACTACCGTTAAGGTTTAACAGGTATTCTTCCTTCCCAAGTCACTTCACTCCATACGAATAGTAGAGCTGAGTGATATCGACGTGAAACTGTTTCACTATAATATGAAAAAGAACCACTAAAAATACGAAAAGATTTTTCTTTAAAATCCATGATGGATGATTTTTAAATGTTTTCGTAATTAGATGGGTCCCGATCCCCACTTCTCTCATTTAAAGCGTGGCATTTAAAATACGGTTTTTGATGGAAGGAATTTTTGAAATACATTAATTTTGCTCTCTATCTAGGCCTATTATTTTATTCATTTTCACTTATTTGTCCTTTGACTGTATTTTCCCCTTTCACTCCAAATATCACTTTTCTATTCTTCATTTTCCTTTTGAGCCCTCTTTTTAAGGGCAGTGAACTGTTTTTGTATAGCTTTTATCCTTCATCTGTATCCCTTTTTAATACAAAATCTTTAACTTTTTTTAATCATAACTACTATTTAAAGCTGTTTTTACACAACGACGCTTTTACAGGGTAATGGATTCCCGATGGTATATATATATATATATATATATATATATATATATATATATATATATATATATATATATATATATATATTATTTTGTATATTTACTATCACATATCTTTATTTACTATCGCATATCTATATTTTCCGTTTCCATCCCTCATTCGATCCCTCCCCTCCCCTCCCCTCCCCTGCCCACCTCTTTCACACTTTTTTCCCTTGTCTTCTTCTCTGTTCTGAAAGTCCACCCTTACCTATTATTCTGTTTTTTTATTCAGTTTTACCTCTTTTCATAAAGCCGCTTTGTCCAGAAGAACCCAACTGAACGACCTGCAGTGCTGAAGCAGGTGACGAACACAAGAGAAAAAAGATAACATTATCAGCTCGGAACCGAGGCAAATCACATTTGGTTATTACAAATGATAACACTATGTTTGTGCACAGAGGTATGCTTAATATAAACACCCTGCACCTTGCACTGAACTAAGAACAAACAAAATTGAGAATTGTTGAGAAAATATACCAAACAACTCTCACTCATATTCGTTCTATATAGTTTCTACTATTTTCTGATGCCACAAAGGAGGAAATGCCTTCTTATGTCGCTCATAATGGTCCCCTTTATGACAATTTAGCACACGATATAGGTAAATCTTTTAAGCAATCATCTTTGCCAAAGGAAGGTAAATAAAGAGGCTGAATGGACAGAGCAGTGATAAGGTGTAGCCTATATATCACCCTCCACAGCTCTAAGACTTATATCTGGGAGGGGTTACAAAAAGGGCAAATGTCCGCCTTGAAGAGAAAAATAGTATGAAACCGTCGTAACATGTAACATCTATGAATTTTTGGTAATATTATAATAATCTTCTCTCGAGGCATTTTTAAAGGATCTAAAAAGCCATTGAGCTATCGGTATTTTCCCTTTGCCATTGTTCTCAAACTGCGTAGATATATACATTGAGAAACGTGTTATTGAAATACAGAATTTACCTAAATATTGAAAAAAACACCTCTTCTGCAAATTTCAGACTACTAGCGAAATTTAAGCTCTGCATATGTAACAAAATGGTTTATGCAAAAGGTTATATATTCTATGTATGGACCCATAGGAATTCTCGCGCCAAAAGTATTTTCAAGAGGCTTAAAGAGCAAAGGTCGTCGAAAAGATAAGATAGACAGATTTGTATTTTTTCGCTGCAGTTTTAATGCAATAAATACTTATTGACACAGGGCAAACGGACCGCGTGCGCTCCCGTGTCTCTTTGCATAACAGTTACTTAAAAGATCGACATTACGCCTCAGTGTCGGCTGGTTTGACAGGTGCGATGCACGCGCTTGTGGCGGCCTATCTTCAGTGCTCCACAATAAAGCACAGCACCTGCCCACGCCCGCGTGGCAAAGTTCGTAGCCCGGTGACTGCATTATCAAGCAGCGGCTGTAACAAGGGGAATTTGTGTACTAATTGGGAAGAAAACTTTTTTACTCCGAGAAAAAATATCACAAATTGCAGACCGACGCATGTATCGCTACGATATGAAGTGCATCGTCTGTATCCGCCTGTTGAAGGACAAAATAAAAAAAATAGGAAAAAAAAAAACAGAAACTAATTGCTCTGTAATTAGAAAATCACGCTGATTTTAATTCCAGAATAACAAAAAGCATAAAAAGTTGGCTTCAGTCAATTAACACTGAATTAGAACATATATCCCTTTCTTCTCTCACTTTCTGCCCTCATAAATCCGGAATGTCACACTGCGGCACAGAAAATCCTAGCAATTAATTTGTATGCCGAATTAGAAATGCAAGCTTATTTTAATTCCCGAACAAAATAAAAAGGAAGCCAACACAATAATTCGACCACAAGTCCAGTTAAATTAGCCCCAATATCAAGCAGTCCCGCTCGGCCAAATCACAATGGTTTCCTGGCCCGGTCCTTTATTATTATAAACAGCCGCATACCAAGGCGCAATGTAAACTAATACGCCAGCCTAGTTCATTCATTCGGAAGGGACAGAAGGGCCAGGGTTTATGGCTGCAATCAATGTAGGCCGTCTTTGAGGTCGCTGGACTCGGGGAACGTTCGACAACATTTCTCTTTCATCTGGGTGCCCATCTTTCCGAGGCCTGCGCCCGGTCGATCCGTTGAGGCTTATCGCCGTAGCAACCGGAGTTAGATCCCAAGATTTATGGTGAACTGTGGAGATTCGTGAGATGCTCGAGCTTCCATTGCTGGAGTTATATGAGTGACTAGTGTGGGCAGTGGCTAGTTAAAGACCAGTGTTGTTTAGACTGAGGGATTAGTGAGCTAGCAGCGCCTGATCGAGATGAAGAAGGTTGAAGAGGACGGATCAGCCTATTGAAAATTGTCCGCAGAGAGAGAAAGGTAAGTTGTTTCATCTGTCTGCACTGTAACGTACTCAGTCTACCCATTCAAAGCAGGCTGTCAAAACGGGTCATAACTTCCCCTGGAACATGCGCTGTCTTTAATCTTTATAAAACTTCACTACATTCATATGCATGTATGACACAGACATATACAAATACACGCTTAAAATCGCCTTATATAAGTAGAAAGCAATGAGCAAGAACGTTTTCATTATCAGCTAAGATCGAGTTAACTGAACCGACTTCAACTCGGCTTCACTTCACACATGTCCTTGTGCTATGTGTTTTTAACTTCGTGAGTGTGTGCGTTCCACTTTAAGCGGGAAACGCGGTAAAATGTCAAGCCTTAACCTGCATTGTTCACAGTGACAGGTATATCAAATGTGTCACCCGTGCTAACCAGTAGGTGACGGTCACATGGCTGGGAGGTCCGTGTGTGTGTGTGTGGAAATTATGCTGAATTGTCATCTGTTGTCACCCTGAGGGACATGGGTTTGGCTGTCTCTGTGTACTAAAACATGCTGTGATATATGCATCACCCTGGGTTCCACAGGTTATAGTTTTATTACTAGAGGGGTGAATGGAGAAAACTGAAATAGAAAGGGGGGGTACTGCCCATTGTTACTCGCTGGCACACAGGGAGACCCGCTTGTCTCATTGTTACTGTATAAATCAGAAGTCGCCTTTGTACATAGCCCATGGCCATGTAGCTGATACACAGTAGCATGCGTGTATATTATCGACATTTAGATCGTTAAGTATATACTATATGCCTGCATCATGGTCTGTTTACATAATAACATTGTTACCGGTGAGAGTTCAGAGAAACACTAATGCAGCGTCTAACCTGTTCCTGTTATATATATATATCGAAATAGTGATGTAACAGTTAGGAAGGCGTACAGATGCGTTCACACGGGCACCAAAATAAGACGGGATTCTGCAGAGTCATCGGTCCTTTTTACGGTTACCAACTCTGCAATGGGCAATTCTTAGAAAATAGCAGTGTAGGTGGGATACTGCTGGACTGTTGGCCGTCGGTTTATAACTGCGATCGCCGTCATATACGAACGTTTAGAAAAACAGCATGATGATAATGTTTGCCTATGGAAGTCCCTATTATGTCAAGATATGAAAAACTTTGGGGCTCACAAATTGGCTTTCTGGCTGTAACCCAAATTAGTCCTCATTTTAAATATTTCAAAATAATTAATGAATCATCTTTTCTGAAAATGCAAAATCTAAATTCAGTGCTTATAAGGTGAGAAATTACTGTAGCTTTCTTTGTGAAATAAGATAATACCATTGATTTTAGTATCAGGAATTTATAATTGGTCGCAAGCAGTGAGACTGCGCTATACGACACACTAAATGTCACTGTCAACATAATGAGTATACACTGTATAATGATAGGAAAAAACTCTAGGCAAAAGAATCGGCTTGGTTGTTTATTGTTCTTACTAAAGACTCAATTTGGACTTGGATTGATTTAGCCGATGGAAAGCGGATGCAATAACATAAACTCATTTCAACTTTGCCCGATTTTTTTGTATGGCATGGACTTTTTAGCTATTTTGGCGTTAATGCTCTTTTGCACAAAGCGAAAATAATTGATGGCAACCTGTCAAAGTGATTTTAATTAAAATGTAAGGAATGAATTGGGGCTAATCATACAGTTTATGCTGATTGGCACAGAAAATATTTGATTGAAAACACTTACTAAAGTGACTTAATATACAGATCTGTGTATATAGGGAGAAGACAAGGGTGAAGTAGCCACGCTACCATTATCTCTGTTACAATGAGATTTAGGCTAGCAGATAATTAAAAACGACTGCTGATTGATTGTATTG